TAACTTCAACTTCCTAACTGAATGTTGAACATTATGCTCAAGAATCTGCTGATACTGAGTGGAATCCATGCAACCCTCAACTTTAACAAGATTCCCAGTTCCAGCAGTGGCAACGCAGCCCCAAAGCATGATGGAACCTCCGCCTAATTTTACAGTGGGCTGTGTTCCTTTTTTTATGAACAAACAACTCAATCTTTGTTTCATCAGTCCACAGGACCTTATTCCAAACTGAAGCTGGCTTGTCTAAATGTGCTTTTGCAAACCTCAAGCAATTCTGTTTATGACGTTCTTGCAGAAAAGGCTTCTGGCGCATCACATACAGCTTCTCCTGGTGCAAAGTGCACTGAATTGTTGAACGATACAGAGTGACACCATCTGCAGCAGGTCTTTGGGGGTGGTCTGTGGGTTGGGAGTGGTCTGTGGGTTGGAGGCGGTCTGTGGGTTGTCCATGACCATAACTGTCCCTGTGGTCTTCCATTTCCTTCCTATGTTCCTCACAGTTCAAATCTCTGAGACTTTTTTTATCCTTCCCCTGAACGACTATGTTGAACAATCTTTGTTTTCAGATCATGTGAGAGTTGTTCTGAGGCGCCCATGATAAATCTTTAGAGGAGATTCAAACAGGAGAACAACTTGCACCTGGCTATGAAGTTCAAATCCTAATGAAGTTACCAAACCAATTTTGTGTTTCAGTGAGTCAGGAAAAGTAGTAAAGGGTAAACAAATCAATAAAATTATGTATAGCACATGTTCTGTTAGTTCAATGAACCTAAATTCAATAGTAGAATATTACTGTGTCCATCAGTTATTAGATATATCAAACGGAAATAGAAGCTGCAAACACCCAAATATTTAGAAATAATTAAGATTAATAGGGGTGCCCAAACTTTTTCATATGACATTTCAGCTGCACAGCATTAAACTGCAATGGTTAAAAAAACAAAAAAAAAAACAAAAAAAAAAACAGAAGTTATATGAAGTTTCAGGTAATGCTGATTTTGACCAGACTTGTTTCATTACTTTGTAGTTTATTTAAAAAGTCAGTCGTGTGAAGTAATATTCAAAGGTTATTCCTAATGCTCATTCATTAGGTTCTATTAATTTCACAACATTTGGGGTTTTACTTTCATTATCAGTGCGGAACCAACAAAGAGTTTCAGCCTTTGAGTAACACACCAAAGGATGTTGATTTTTATATTAAACTTCCTTGGTTCACAAACATGTTGCAGAACAGTTTAAATGCGGGACAGAAGTGAAAGTGGCCTTACTTGAGCATGGAAGAGGGACAGACTCCGGACCGTATGAAGCGGGATCAAGACTTTAACCAGGAACTGCTTATGTTCTGCTTTCAGAGGCAGAGCAAAACCATTGATTATACTATTGGGAAAGACAAAGAGACAAAACAAAGTTATTAAACACTGGATGTTACTAAACAGCAGTTTGACTAGAAGATGCAGCCTTGAGAAATACAGATCAGAGCAAAGGGAACATTTAAATATATTAGATTTGCTCATTTAAGGTCAAATAAAACCTTAAACCAAGCAGTTTAAAGTCAGCTTAAGGTTTAAGGATTAGCACCTAATCCCTTATAATCTGCTTTTTAAAAATTTATACTGACTGAAACATGAAGATTTTTTAATTATTGGGCTTCAGAAAATGTAAAGCAGAAAATTTGCTTTCCTCCAAATTTGAGACTCCAAACTATTCTTTGAAAAGCTGAGTTACAATAAAACTCACTGGGGACTAAGAAACGGCAAATGTTTCGTTTTAAGCCTGTTTTGAGGAAACCAGAGATATTTAGTGAAAACTCATAAATCACAGTGAATCACTCCTGATCTTCAAAGATAAGGAGATTTCAGAGGGCAAACGTTGTTACCATGTGAAATAAAATATTGTGAAAAGAGGAGAGAACGCTGATGAACGCAGTGCGTACCAAGGATCTTACACGCCGCTGGGACGCAAAGCGACAACAGCTCATCTTCCTCACACCACTCAGTTCAGTTCAATCAGAAAATCATTTAAAGGGGAACGAAAGGTTCAACCAAACTATCTAAATTCAATTGACTGCGTTTAACTGTTATCAATAATTATATTACAGATGTGCTTTACCTACCGGACATCGCTCTACCGACCGACCAACAAAGTACTGACCCACCAACGCTCTACTGACCCACCTACGCTCTGCTGACCGACCAATGCTCTACTGACCGACAGACCAATGTCTGCTGACCGACCAATGTCTGCTGACCGACCAACGCTCTACTGACCGACCAACGCGCTACTGACCGACCTACGCTCTACTGACCCGCCTACGCTCCGCCGACCTGCCAACACCCCGCTGACCCGCCATCGCTCCACTGACCCTACAACCCACCCACCTTGAACACAAAGGGGTTTCTACGCCTCCACCTCATTTGCTCATTTGCTCACAGCTCTGTGAATTGTTATAGGCCTCCTTTAGCCAGGAGACGAGAATTTAGTTTCAATGATAAGTTGGTATGAAGTTAAGTTCCATGGCCTTCGGCCAACCAAAAAGACATTCTCTGCAGCTGTCCTCTTAC